GTGTTAAAAGATCGACAGCTCATATTGAATACGTCTAAACCAGCTGAGAAGTTTTAGGTGTTAAAAGATCAACAGCTCATATTGAATACGTCTAAACCAGCTGAGAAGTTTTAGGTGTTAAAAGATCAACAGCTCATATTGAATACGTCTAAACCAGCTGAGAAGTGAGTAAAATATATTCTTATGAACAACTACAAAATTTCCTAATTATGGATACACAAATATCTCGCATTTTGGGATGTTATTAAGAAAGAAAACAATACAATGAAATGTGTATAAATAAATACATTGTTTCATTAGTGTTAGATGCCTCCCATTAATGCTAAAAATTTGTTTTGGAGGTTCTAAAGTTCATTGAAATGAGGACCTAACTTTGTTGTCCATTTCGCTCAGATAGATTTGGCATAGAACAAACGAAAGTCTGTATTTGCTTTCAAAAAAACAAAATCAAATATGAAACTAATTAAAATGTTTAGATTTAGTGAACGATAATTCTTCTTTGGCAACGAAATTAAAAGTCAATAAGAACACTCAGTTGTTAAGAACATTTGAAAAAAGTGTAAAACAGTGAATATCGGTTCATTGCAATATTGTTAGTTTACATTTTGTAGGATGGTAAACGATTTTACTTATATGACAAACAACATTTCGGTTCCTGGAAGTAAACTGATAGTCTACTTCTTAGAACTAAAATACTGTTTGTCGTAGAAAACTAATAATAAAACCAAAGTGTTTCTTTTACTGCGCCATTTTTACTTATTACAACTAACTTCAGAATGTATATCTTCCAGATTTTACTAATACGCCACTGATGCTCATGGGGTAACAAATTTAAGTTATACGTTTGTTAAAAGTAGGAAGAATATAATGCTTAACAACTGTTATTCCAGCCTGTACTACACATCCATACGCCCAAATTCAACCAACATGTTATACACATCCCCTTCATGGCCAGGTGGATAAGGCGCTCGACTCGCAATCTAAGGGTCGCAGGTTCGAATCCCCGTCCCACCCAACATGCTCGCCCTTTCAGCCGTGGGGGCGTTATAATGTGACGGTCAATCCCACTATTCGTTTGTAAAAGAGTAGCCCAAGAGTTGGCGGTGGGTGGTGATGACTAGCTGCCTTCCCTCTAGTCTTACACTGCTAAATTAGGGACGGCTAGCGCAGATAGCCCTCGTGTAGCTTTGCGCGAAATTCAAAAACAAACAAACAAACAAACACATCCCCTTACAAGTTTCAATAAAACACATTAAATGTCGCCATTTCCATTTTCTCATCACTAACTGCTAACGTTCCTAATATTCGATAAACACAACACTTGTTTAACTCTGACACTATGTTTAAAATTAACAAATCCCACACTTCATGTTCTAGAGGGAGTAGAAAACGATTCCATTCAAATATCTCATGTCTTTAAAGGGAGGGAAGACACAAAGTAAATGTGTTGACAAAAATACTATCTACTTCATAGATTTATTTCTTCGAACTCGATCAGAAACTACCTAGATGGATCAAAGTAAGGATCATGGCTTGAGAAACAAGATGCTTTACATTTCATTATTTCTTATCTCTAAACACAATTGATTAAATAATGAATTTCTGGATAGGGGCAAATCGAAAGAATAAGATTAGGCTTCATATAGTAGTGAACTGAATATTGTTTGTATGGTGTTTTGAAATGTCTTTTACTCGCGCAGTAACCCTGTATTTTTAAAGGAATTTTTAGAATATGCAATATTAATGATACACGTAAGCTATTTGGAGTATTAAAAATGTATGTGAAACCCAATATATAATTGAATAGAATGTATCATTCTTGTAATTCATACAAAAATATAGGATCACTGTGTGTATAAAAAGTATTTCATGACACTTAATATAGATAAGGAAAAATTATACTAAAGCTTTGTATTTAACGAAATATACAAAGTATTTTCGAATATTCTAGACACAAGTACTACTGGTTAGCTCTTACAACGAGACTATCTTACTGTATTTTAAGTGACAAATTAAGTCGCGCTTAGATATACATGTTAGTACAGTTTTGGCTCTAATGGATTGCTTCTGGTTCTTTATAGAGTATAAAGACGTTTCAGCTGATTGGATTTGCATATTTAATTTTTTAGCGGTGGATCATATTTGTGTATCTTTTTTTTTAATATCACCTTCTTCTGAAACTAATTATTTTTATGGATCTTAATAGACAGCTTGGAAAATCTCTACAGTTCTCATTGAAGCATGTGCTGAAAATAACCCAGTTTTTAAATTTATTTATTTATTTGCTCTAGCACGAGATTTATTCTAAATCATCGTTCATTTTAATACCAAACTTTTCTTAAGTTTAGATGCAAAAACGATTTTTTTAAGTAAACTTTTGTACAACATCAAACAAAAAATAGTACAAAACATTTAATAATGCCCAATTTAAACATGATCGTCAAGTAATGATGAATTCTTCTTTAACAGGACAACATTTAGGCCTGAAGTGGTCATTTGTACACCATTGGCACAGCTTTTATGTCTGAATTGGTAATTTGTTCTCCTTCAGTCTACTATTTAGGCCTGAAGTGGTCATTTGTACACCATTGGCACAGCTTTTATGTCTGAATTGGTAATTTGTTCTCCTTCAGTCTACTATTTAGGTCTGAAGTGATCATTTGTACACCATTTGCACAGCTTTTATGTCTGAGTTTATCACCATTTGATCATTATGCTATCCTTTATGTCTAAAATGTAAAGTTGTCACTTGATCCTCATAAGCTATCCTTTATGCTTGAAATGTAAAATGGTCACTTGTTACACATCAGCTATCCTTTATGCCTGAAATGTAAAATGGTCACTTGTTACACATCAGCTATCCTTTATGCCTGAAATGTAAAATGGTCACTTGTTGCTCATTAGCCATCCTTTATGTGTGA